TGTCTATCATCTATCTATCTATCTATCCATCCATCCATCCATCCATCCATCCATCCATCCATCCATCTATCATCTCTATCTGCCTGCCTGCCTAACCATCCATCCATCCATCCATCCATCCATCCATCCATCCATCCATCCATCCATCTATCTATCTATCTATCTATCTATCTATCTATCTATCTATCTATCTATCTATCTATCTATCTATCTTCCACTCAAGGTGATCCTAAAATATTCCTGCTTCTTTCCCCCCACACCTTAAGGAAAGTCTGGGATCCATTTTCAAACTCTTTAAGAATTCCTCCAGTTTCCACTTACAAACCACAAAAGTACAATTTTGTGAATTTGATTGGAATCTGCTCTGAGGGCATTTGGCTAGGAAACTCGAGTGTATAGTGTAAAAACCAGATAATGCCTGGTATGGTTGCCCACTTAGTGAAAAGTAGCACAATAGCCTACTGAGAAATTTGTGTCTAGGGTTGACGTTCCTTGACTGGTTGATTGGTTATATGTGCCATCAAGGTGGTGTTGACTCTTAGTATAGCTACATGGATAGATTTTTCTCTTTGATGACGGTTGGGAGGATCTGTTTCCAAACCTGGTCTTTCAGATCCTCCAACAGCATATTAAATGCCATCCCTTAAAGGCTCAAAAACAGTACGAAAGGGTCAACAGCCAATGCGCAACCCGACCCTTGGACCTAATAATAGTTTACTGAGTCATCTTAACTCGGGTGAAGGAAGGAAAGTTTTTTTTTTTTTTGGGGGGGGGGGGGGGGCGATGGTTGATTCTTTTGAATGGACTTCATCAACCAATCTACGTGTTTCGCACCTTTTTTTTTCTCTCTTCACAGCGCTTGATTTTTGATCTGCCCATTTTCCACCCGCTCGTGGACCCTGTCTCGGGGGAACTGGATGTGAAAAGAGCATTTGCCAAGTGGAGGTGAGTGTGATGGGCCGGGGTCTCGAACCTGGGCCCTGCGCAGAGAAAAGATGTGTCTTTGACAAAGGCTCTGATCGGCCTTTCTCTCTCTCTCTCTCTCTCTCTCTCTCTCTCTCTCTCTCTCTCTCTCTCCTAAAGGCGCAATCACAACCACATATGGCAAATACTGATGTACGCACGCAGAGTTTTCTACAAGATCGACACAACCAGCCCTCTGAACCCTGAATCTGCTGTGCTGTGAGTTCTTTTTATTGGGGGAGTGGGAGAATGTGGGAATATTGGGGGAGTGGGAGAATGTGGGAACCTTCTCTGGAAGTTGCAGTCCATTATGTACTGTTTTTGAGTATGGCTTTTTTTCTTATTATATGAGCATGTCTTGGGCCGAGTGAGCTTAGTGGTTTTCCTGTTTGCTTTAGTTCCAAAATTACTTTCATTAACCTCTTCTAGGAATTCCAGGAGGGGTTAATCCCCTTCTACATAAACTACAGGTAGTCCTCGACTTACAACTATTCATTTAGGGTCAGTTCAAAGTTACAATGGCACTGAAAAAAGTGACGTACGACCGTTTTTCACACTTAAAACACTTGCAGAATTTCCCCAGGGTCACGTGATCAAAATTCAGACCATCGGCAACTGACTGGACTCAGTCCCCAGGCTGCTAGGATCAACTTTTGCAACCCGACAAGCAAAGCCAATGGGGAAGCCAGATTCAGTTTAACAACCGTGTTGTTACTCGCTTAACAACAGTGGCAAGAAAGGTTGTAAAATGGAGCAAAGCTTACTTAACTGTTTTGTTTAGCAGTAGAAATCTGGAGCTCAATTGTAAGTCAAGGACTACTTTATTGTGAATCAATTTGTCAAGTCCGAAATTGACATGTGTAGCCATTTTATTTAGCCGTATTATATATTCCTTTTCTTTCTTTGCTGGTTATGCGCGGAAGGGTTTCGGGCTTGCCATATTCCTAAGGTGGGAGGAGTGGAGATAGAGTTGTTTAGGCTGGGTGGTTCTTCTTCTCCTGGGAACACGAGCTGACCCTGCTGAGGCCTTGAGGTGGAGATTTATGAAGCCAGGCAACATTGATTTACTTCTATTGGGGAATGTGACTTTTGAGGTCTGTTTCTAATTTCCAATATTATGTGGTGTAATTCCGGGTTGTGTCAGATCCAGAATTGCAACAGACTTTGCCAATTTGATGTTTTCCTAAATAAAAGAAATTGTTTGGGAAGATGGACTTAGCTTTTCTTTTTAAATGGATTTCATCACTTGGAAACCTGACACAATTGTCTGTGCCTCATTTTTCGACCTGCCTGAAATTTGTTGTATCCTCTAGTACAGCAGCAACCAGCTTGCAGCTTGGTAAAAACATTTTGGGTCTCCAGTTTGTGCACAGGACAATTTTTACTTTGCACTTCCTGTTCCTTTTCCTCCATCCAGATGACGCTGAGTCTCAACTCTGTGTCTCCTGGAAATTGGTAAATCGGAAATAATTGTAGGATGCTGGGAACTCTAGTTCAGCAACATTCAAAATTAGGGAAGAAGGGTATCCTGTAACTGTGAGATTATAACTGTAGCCGTTTTCATGGTTTTTAAAAATGTTGTTTAATATTTGTTCATGATGATTTTAGGTATTTATTGTAAGAATGCTTGCTTGTAAGATGGGCGTCTATATAAGTTAGATACATAAATTTAAAAAAATGACATGTTAACGGCAATAACTACCAATATAGTTATGCCTTTTTTAGTCCTGGAGTTTCTGATTTCTGGGCAATATTTTGTGGTGGGTGAAATGTGCAATAAATCTGCTTATGTTTGTTTCAAGATGTTTTCATAGAATGCTCCTGTTCCTTCCAGGAGAGTTCTAACGTATTTTTTCTCTCCTTAGGTATGAAAAAGATATTCAACTCTTCAAGAGTAAAGTGGTTGACAGCGTAAAATTGTGCAGCAGTCACTTATTCGACCCCCCCAAAATTGAAGACCCCCATGCAATTAGGTAACCTTAATACCGTTATCAAGTCACATCATGGGGTTTAGGCCAAGTAGAGATAATTCTGATTTAGCAATAGCCCCAAGTGACTGTTCAGCTATGATGGTGATGAAAAAAGCAATCTAGTGATCTATCTTTGCATTTACGTCCTCCGCAGATCTGTAAAGCAATGGAAACTGAACTATGGTTGTAAGCACAGTTAAGGTTTCACATAGCGACATCTTCACTCCATGGCCAAGTCACTAGTTCCATTTTGCCGCTAAATGAGAACGACCTGTATTTCTTTGAATTATATGTAGATTTAGGCTCTCTCTAAAGTGTTTACAAGTCCATGCAAACTGGAGGCTTTTACAATCGACTACACTGATGTCCCACGTGGCCAAAAAAATTATAATTTTTCATTGCAAGTTTTTGACATCCTTAAAAGACATTGTAAACATCCAGTAGACGTGCGTAGGATAGTGGGTTATTAATTTTCATATTTTACTTCTGCTGGGCTACTGTAGTTCCATTAAGTAGACCTTCTGCCTTTAGCTTTGGAAACTTTGGTGACATTTTGCTTGCGCCTTGCAGCTTCTCTCCATGGAATCCAGCTATACACAACGAAGTGAGAGAGAAGATGTTGACCCAGAAGGTACGGAGGGAGCATCTATCTTATTTTATAGCAATTGTAAAAAAAATGAACGGGGAGAAATCAGCCTTATTGCATTGAAAGAAACTGAGGCAAGCTCCTTATGCCAGAAGGAATCAAGCAGAAAGTCCCTTATGTAACCTTGTTGTGAGATAAGAGAGATTATTCTGTGTGTGTGTGTGTGTGTGTGTGTGTGTGTGTGTGTGTGTGTTTACAGTGGCTAGAAGGAAACAGTGGTTAGAAAAGCACATGGTTGCACATCGCTTAAACCAGGGTTGTCCAATTTTGGGAACTTTTAAGGCTTGTAGACTTCCAACTCTCAGAATTCCAGAGCCAACTTTAAGATCTGTGGACTTCAATTCCCAGAACTGCATGCTGGCTGAGGGAATTCTGGGAAGTCCACGGATTGTAGCTTCAGTGTGAAAATATAGTTCAAACCAGAGGTGTCCAGTCCTGGCAACTTTTAAGATTTGGGGACTTCCAACTCACAGGGCTGGCTGAGGAATTTTGGAAATCGAAGTCCACAAGTCTTAAAAAAGGTGCCAAGGTCGGACACCCCTGGTTTGAACTACATTTTGACCACTGGAGCTGCAGAGAAGTTGTAGAGCAGAGGTCTCCAACCTTGGCAACTTTAAAACTTGTGGACTTCGACTCCCAGAATTCTCCAGCCAGCTGGCTGGAG